GTTAGATTGTTTTCCCCTTGAGTTTAAGTATTTGATTCTGCAAAATGCATATTGGATGCTAAACCCAGTGGAAAGAGACCAGTCACAATATCTATCTGCCCGTCTGTCAGTCTGACTAGCTCATTGTACAGTGAGATGGGCGGCATATATAAATCCGGAAAATAAATAAATAAATAAATAAATAAATAAATAAATCTATTCACTCATGCCTAGCTTCTCATGGTATAGCACAGTCCTTCAGGGGAATATTTTCTTCACAAAACCACCCTTGCGAGGATTGGAAGCTGTCCTCTATAGAGATAGATGGCAACCATAATGGACTATAGTGCTAACATGACTATGTTCAAACCTGTTGCCTGGCGTGTGGCTCTAATATGGTGCTATGAGAGCTGATACATCTGCTATAGAAAAGTGGCATACAACTTTCTCAGTTATCAAACACAGTGTGAGGTGGATTAGAAGAATTAATAGGCAATGATTAGCTTTGGTCTGCATTGTTTACAAGGGCCTAACAGTATCTAGCTGACCTTGGCTGATCTTAGAAACTAAGCAGAATTAGCTCTAATTGGAATTTGTATGAGGAACTATCTTGGAAGTCCCCAGCTGAGGCTAGAATAACACACTGAAGAAAGCAACATCCTGGAAAAAAGCAATAATAGACCGCTTCTGCCTCATGCCAAGAAGGCTTCATGGATGTGTCCATATAATCCCAGGAACTGAAATTGACCTGAAAACAGCTTTACATTTTACTTGAGTTTGGAGGCATTTCAGAAGTTCAGAAGTTATTGTCATTGAAGTCCATTGCCTAATTTAAGTGACTGAAGTATTTGGTATGCTATCATTGTATGCCATGAGTTTTCTTCTACATACATTTCAGGGCTATAGGAGGAATCTATTGATATATTAACTTTGCTGATGTTGCAGCAATAAATATTTTATACCTTTGAGATACACATTTACATACTGCACTAACATGTAAGTCTCTTATTTTTTAAAAAAAGGAATGGCATTGTAGCAGAGGACTCTTCACATAAACTATTTGCATTTACATGTAGGGTTGGAATAAGAATGTAAATGAATTCAATTATGTATGCAAATTTGTGAATCCTAAAAAAGGCCCATTCAGGAGAGCTTGCTGTTCGCAAAGTTGTTCATATTTTGGCTCTGACCTAACCTTATATATGTATTTGGTCTGTGCTGTTTCTTCTCTGTATACCTGCTGAATATTGAGCATCATCTAATGTAGCCATAGTTTGAAACCTTCATTTAAAAATATAGGAATAATTCTATAAAATATCTTTGTTTTCTATTGACTTTCATTATTGAATTATTATTAAATTAGGTGGACACCTCTGTGATGACTGATCTTTCAGACATTCCTGCTAACACTGAACTCTGGTTTGCCGAGAAAGTGCCTTGAAATCTGTCCCAAGACAATAGAGAAGATATCCTGTGCTTTTTGATTTATAAATGTTTGGTACTAGATACATTTTATTTTCATATATGTTGGACATTCCATACCTCTGTGAAAGGAACATATTTTATTTGAATTTGTAAATTTGCTGCCTATATCTCAAATCAGCCAATTTATTTAAATATATTGTATATAATGACTACTAATATGCTAATTAACTGTTTTAATTATATGCAGGGAATTAGTTGATGTTTGCTGTTATCTTGTTTCATTGTATGTACACTATTTTGCTCAGGCTCTTATTTTCATTATTTGCACTAACTTGAAATTCAGAAGTCTCTGTAACTGAAAAAGCTTCAAGAGGAATGGTTTACTTTCAGTAGAAAATGTTTTATATTATGAAGCTTTGAATTAAGTATGTGTATGTGTGTATGTGTGTAGTATATGTGTGTGCGTGTGTGTGTATATTTTGCACATCAGAGCAAAATGCACATAAATGCTTTATAAAAATTAACAGGATTAGCATCAGTTACATTTGTACTGGCACTTACGGAAAGAATTACAAATAATGTAAATATAAAAGACTGGAAGACTGCAATGCAGCTTTGGTGAAATAAAAACAAAATTAAAGGTATTAACATTTTATGTTCTTATTGAAATGTTGGATGAAATTCAGATGTCTTTGATACATTTTAAATGCAGATATGGGAAAGCATATTGAATTTGAGTATCACTGTAATACTGGTGTGATACTTGGTTATCTATTTTCTACAGCTATTTCAGATTTAAAGGTCTTAATTTTATATACAGGCAAAGGGTAAGGACTATGATGCATCGCTGTAATACATAGCCATCAATGGCTGTATTAAAACAAATCCATTCTTAAAGCCAGCCAACAAAGAAATGTTTAACGTTTTTGAGGAAGAAACTAAGGTTCTAGTTCTGTGAACCTGAGGGCAGAAATAAGGGCCTAAAACTGGAATGGGAGAACATTTATTGGGTAGGTCTGACAGAATTAACAAGCAATTCTAAGATTCACAGAGGTAGATATCAGGCATTGCTTGGACAGCTAGTCAGGCTTATGACTATAGTGCTATAAAATGCCTTTAGTGTAAGAAAGATTTTAGAAAACTGTTTAAGATTACTAAGTATATTTGATGGTCAGAACCAAAATTACAAAGTAAAATGTTTATTTTCAGCAGACAAACTAATATTGCTAAACAATGTTAATGTCTAGCTAATATCTCAATGGAAACAAGGTGTGATAAGATCTGATGTAAAGTATGCCTAAGAAAGTTTCTGAGAAAACCCATAATACATTGATCATTATTCAATGAATAATGGTAGGATTTTATTATTTCTATAAGAGATAAGCTTCCTTGTAACACTCTGCATTATAAATGATAGGAGAGTTAAAATTTACCAGGATCATGTACATTTCAAATTTAATTAATAAAATCAATCTTTAAAACATAATAAAAAAATAGTGCAGGTTGGGGATCAAAGTGTGAATTATTGGTGTCAAATATATAGGTTAAACTTAGAAAATGAAAGAAAGTAGATGTGACAGGAAGATATGAACTGAAAAACAAAACAATCAGAGTGTAGGCTTAGCATGAGAAACTATTTCATATATTTAACTTACATGAAAGAGAGGTTGGGGATTCAGAGACATTGCAAATTCTAAAATGGAAAAAAAAAATTAACATTTCAAACAAAAAAAACAAAAGACTTTCAAAATAGGCTTTCATGCCAAAGCTTGAAAGGCCAAAACCAAACCAAACCAAACCATGGGCAACAAAATAAGATATATGGCAGCTGAATGCAGTCTTTAATGTAAAATGAGAAAAAATCAGGAAAGATATACCAAGTAAATGTTGGAATATAACTAGAAAAATGAAAAATATTTTTAAGAAAATCAGAAACCTCACAGAAAATTTTCCACTAAAGTAGGAATACTTGAAAATAATCATGGAATAGATCTGAGAGAGGCAGGTGAGGTTAAAGGAAGAGATGATAAAAGATGATATAGTCTTTAGAGTACTGTAAAGACTACAATTAAACCCCTTTACAAATGAGAATAACAGAAACATTTTAAGAAGAAACAACTCCACTATAAAGAGAGGTATCCTATATAATAGACCAGCTGTCAAATAGGAAAGTTCTAGATGCAGATGAAATACCAGCTGAACTATTTAAAGCAGGAAGAGGAGAAGCAGCGAAAGTGCTGTCAACAAAGTGATCATGACAACAAATATGGAACTTGCACTTTGAGGCTGGAAAAAATCCATCTATATGCATACACTGAAGAAGAGTCATGCAAGAGAAATACAGTTTGGGCCCCAGAATTGGAGACTTTTTGTTCTTGACTCTGACTCAGTGCACAATTTAGGGGTCCTTCTGGACTCAGAGCTCCTGCTCAAGGAGCAGGTGGCAGCTGTGGCCAGAGGGTCTTTGCACAATTTTGTGTGCCAATTATACCACTTCCTGCTCATGGTCACCCACAACTCAGTCGCCTCCTGATTGTATTATTGCAATATGCTCTGCCTAGAGCTGCCCTTGCAGACATCTGGAAACTACAATTGGTCCAGAATGTAGGAGCATTGGTAGATATTGTATGGGTACTTCTCACTATGCCAACATGACACCACTACTCCACGAGTTGTACTGTCCTGGTATAATTCAAGGTGCTGGTTATCAATTTAAGCCCTACATGGCATAGGACTGGGTTGAGGGACCCCTTTTTCCTTAGGGCAGTTGCCCACCCAACACACTTGGATAGAGAGACCATATTCTGGGTCCCTTCATTGAAACAGTGCCATCTTGTGGGACCCGGGAGACACACCTTCTCAATGGCAGCTCCTATTTATGGAATGCCTTCCTCCTTCCATACAGTTGGTCCTGATCCTTCTGCTCTTTAGAAAGGCTGTCAAGACCTGTCTCTTTCCCCAGGTTTTTGGGCTGTGATGTGCTGGAGCTCCAATTGGTTGATGGTGATACTCAGTTTGGATCGCCATTTTATTGTTTTACTGTTTAATTGTTTCATGGTTGCTTGTTAGTATATATATGTTTTACATTCTTTTTGTAGGTTTTGCTTTTTCTTTTTCTAAGGTGCCCAGAGTCACCTTGGTTGAACTGGGTGGTCATATAAATGTTTTAAATCAAGAAATAAAGAAATCATTTCACTAATTCCTCATGCAAGCAAAGTTTTGCTTAAGATCTTCCAAGAAGAATAGAGTCAATATACAAAGTCAGAAATGCGAAATGAACAAGCAAATTTCAGAAAAAGGCAAAGAGACACAAGGCCAAATAGCTAATAGGAGTTTGATAATGGGCAGACAAAGAGTATGTAATGAGAAGAAAGATGTTTACTGTTGCTTCTACAACTATAGCAGTGTAACCCTAACCCTAACCCTTTGTGTAGACCATGCCAGGACATAGAACAGTGTGTGTCAGAACACTGATCATTCTGTAAAATCTTTACAATAAATGAACTTACTATAAGAACTAAATTTAGAAAACTGGAGTGGTTCAAAATAGGAAAGGAAGGGATGGATATTGTTTCTATATCTATTTGATTAATATAGATATGACAGCTGGAGTAAAAATTGGAGATTGAAATGTTAAGAGTTTCAGATAAAGTTATATCCCTTTGTTAGCTGAAAATAAAATAGAAGAGCTCATTACAAAAGTAAAGATGGAAAGTGAAAAACGCTTGTCCATAATATTTGCGTATAAAATCTAAGAAAAGGAAGTTGTTATAATTTCATATAACAGCTATACTAATAATAATATTTCAGATATTCCAATCAGCACTACACACACACACACACACACACACAAAGCCACATTGTTGTTGTTGTTGTTGTTTAGTCGTTAAGTCGTGTCCGACTCTTCGTGACCCCATG